CTTTATTCATGATGAATAAATTGTAAACCACTTTTTTTTGTATAACTTCCTGGACATCAGGGATGTTTGTGAAATTCCTTTAACTGAAAGTCCCCGGTTTAACATCTCTTGAGAAGGTCCCCCCCCTCCCCAGACATCAAGGGTGTTGAGGAATTCCCTTAAATTAGAGTCACTGGTTTAACATCTCTTTTGAGAAGGTCCCCCCTCCCCCCAACATCAGAGGTGTTCGTGGAATTCCCTAACTTAAAGTCACTGGTGTAACATCTCTTTTGAGAAGGTCCCCCCTCCCCCCGGACATCAGGGGTGTTTGTGGAATTCCCTTATCTTAAAGTCACTGGTTTAACATCTCTTTTGAGAAGGTCCCCCCTCCCCCCGGACATCAGGGGTGTTCGTGGAATTCCCTAACTTAAAGTCACTGGTGTAACATCTCTTTTGAGAAGGTCCCCCCTCCCCCCGGACATCAGGGGTGTTCGTGGAATTCCCTAACTTAAAGTCACTTCTTTTATCACAAACAACTGCCAGTACAATACATCCACAAGCCTTCAGCTACAGCTTGCTTTTACAAAGTTGAAAGTTTCTTGAAAGCTTCATCTTTCCTTTTTGTTTTTTCTCTAAAGGTAGAATTCATGCAAAGCGTCTGTCTGGTGCCAAGCTAATATTTTATGATTTGAGAGGAGAAGGGGTGAAGATTCAAGTTATGGCAGATGCTAGAGCTGCAGAACAAGATTTTGTGGAGGTGCACAATAAAATAAGACGTGGTGACATAATTGGAATTCAAGGAAAACCAGGTATCAGAATAAGTTCACTTTAAATTTCTTTTTTTTTTTTTTATACATCTTAACTTTTCTAAAGTGTTTGATAAGTAATTTATAAACAATCTTTTTTTTGTTAATTTTATTGACTAAGAGAAGTTCCGGTTTGTATCAGGATTTTTAACAGCCATTTAATTGTTTGATGCTAAATGATGGTACCTGAATGTCAAAAAAGTGACACTTAAGATATTCATTTTCCATCAGGCAAAACAAAGAAGGGCGAATTGAGCATCCTGCCTTCAAGTGTTCAGTTGCTATCACCTTGTCTACATATGCTCCCTCATCTTCACTTTGGATTGAAGGATAAGGTATACACTCTATCGATTTGCGTTGCAGAACTTAAACTTTTCTTATTATGCGATTTATTAGGGTTTTCTGTTTGAATTATTTTAGCTATGGTATGCTTCAAAGATCTCCTGTACCTTTAAATCCACTCTCATGAAACTGGAGTACAGTGTGCCTTAGTGCAATCAAACCCACTCTTGACCAGAAGAATGGTTAGATATAGTGTAAATTTGAGTAATCTGTAACACCTGTTACGGCTTAGCTGACTTAAATGTTTTTGGGTGAAGATTGTTGATGGCTGTCACGGGCATGCATTACACTACTACAGGGATAAGGACACATGGGTTCAGAGGGCAAATTTGTAATTTCTTGGCAAAACTGCAGAGAATATTGATTCAGTTGTGATAGCTTTCTGATGAGTATTACCAATGGACATTTTCTTCTGGTATTTTTTTTGTAGGAGACAAGATTTAGACAGCGTTATCTGGATCTCATTCTCAATGACAAAGTGCGGCAAAAATTTATTGTCAGAGCAAAGATCATCAATTACATCAGGAAGTTTCTTGACAATTTAGGTTTTCTTGAAGTAAGTGGATTCATTGGTACTATATTGTCTTAAAATGCACAGATAAAGGATGCACCTATAAGTTGTGAGGCCTGCATACCATTTATACTTGAAAAATGTTGACTTTTCGTACAATCCTCCAAAGAGTTACTTTATAAATAGCATTTTTTACTGTATTATACTAAATGACTGAAATACATTTATGAATAAATAAATTATTCTTGAAATCATAAACCACACCACAACTTATACATGAACCAAATGAGTTATTGCTGAATTGAATTTATATTTTGAACCTGTTGCTTTTAAAATCAATTATCTACTTACATGTAACTATTCTAACAAAACTTGGCAAATGCAATCAAACACCTCAAATCACAAAATGATTTTCTTTGACTGTTTCTTGTATGATCAGTTTGTCAGGCTTAATAAGCTTTTTCTGCTTTGAATACTTCTGATGCTAGTGGTTTTTCTGAGTTTAGCACCTATTTTATACATACTTGATATTAAAAGAATATGAATGGTGCAATTATAGCTAGCAACCATTTTTTCTCACTAGGTAGAAACACCACTGATGAACATGATTCCAGGAGGAGCAACAGCCAAACCTTTCATCACTCACCACAATGACCTCAATATGGACCTCTACATGAGAGTAGCTCCTGAGCTGTATCACAAAGTAAGTGAGTTAGGTTCACTATTTTTCAGCACTGCGTGGTACTGAACTCATGAGGACTGTTGATTAAGATATCCTAAGCGTGTTTTCCTGCTCATGAGCTGAGTGAACCACACTACATCGGCTTGTTCAGGCTTAGGTTCGCCTTAGGTTCGCCTTAGTGTATTTATGCTCTTGGTTAGAGAGAGGCACTGAGAATATAGTATGTTGCCCCAAAAGTGCACAGAGAAATGTAATTGTTTGTGCCCCAAATATGGTCTATTAATTGTGTTTAAGAATTCGTCAGCAATTTGTGTTGGAAACTTGACACGAGTGTTGTGTACAGTGTTGTTATCTGCAATAATCGCTCACTGTATCTATGATTAACTGCACAGTCATATGTTTGCTTCATGCAGTGTTAACTGGACTGTTAAGAACTACTTGCGGACCACTTTCAATGATATAATGACTTGGATGTTTTACAATTTTATATTTTAACCCTTGGCACCCTGACATCAGTATGTATATTATCCCAACTGTTCTCTTTACATTTCCTAGGGTGTTGACAAGGAGAATTTGTTTAACAAACAAAAGCTTGTTTAGTTGGTGGTCATGATTTCTTTTCTTCTTGTGACCTTTATGTGGGATTCAGGGGTGATATTGGAAGGAGAAATTAGATCCAGTTCATTCCTAAGGGTTAATTGTTTATTGGACCCTTTTACAAAAGACAACTGAAAGAGTAAGTATGGTTTCACCCTTAAAACAACATATTTTATTTTCTCTTTACTTTAGATGCTCGTAGTTGGAGGAATTGACAGAGTGTATGAAATTGGAAGACAGTTTAGGAATGAAGGTACCTAATAAGTCAAATTAGTTATAAATGTACAAATATAATTTAAGGTAGCACTTATGAAAATCAAAGTGAAAATTATATGCTGGACTTCAGTGTCTCATTTCCTAAGAACAGGATACTGTAAAGCAGAGTGGGTCAAGGGTAAACTGAATAACTGAGTTTTGAGTTGAGGTTGTGTCTGTGACTGCATACTAGTTCTCTAAGCTCAGAGCTTTGCAAAGTGGCCATTTGGTGACCCAGAATCAGAATATGGTAATCAGAATAAGAATTTTAGTTGCTGAAAGTAAGAATGGAGTACTATGTACTCTCATATTTACTTACCTATTGACCACTGAGAGCATGTTTAATTCCTTGGTTATTTTATGTCATTGTCTCGTGTAGGTATAGATATGACTCATAACCCAGAATTCACCACTTGTGAGTTCTACATGGCCTATGCAGATTACAATGACCTGATGGAGCTTACAGAAGTTATGTTGTCTGGTAAGTCACAATGCTGTTGTCTTTTCACACTTTCCTTTATTTAACTCCCTAAAAGTATGAAAGTTTGTGAATATAATAATTTTGTAGAACAAAATGTTGAGTATCATTCATCTGTAATGAAAATTTGTTGGCTTATCTTGAAAAAGATAACTGGATCAGATGATATTTAGAAGTAGTTCACCATGTAATGGAGGTGGCATGGCCGAGTGGTTAGGGTGCTGGACTTGAAATCCAGTGGCCCAGGTTCAAGTCCTTCACCCTGCCACTCACTGGATTTGTTCTTGGTTTCCCCTAGTTCAACTCCTTGGCTGCACTCTGTAATTAGCCCACTGGTCTGCTTCCTGCCAGTGGGGATTTTTAATCACTTAGTTAAACTACATTGTGGCTGTAAAGTCCCTATGGGGAAGCCTCAAGTAACATATATTATTGTTAACATAATGTTGTTCAGTTTCTAGAGATCATTATGGGGCAAAAGGGTCAACTTGTTAACATTTAAAAAAAAAAAAAAAAACAGTGTAAAGATGTGCCTGTAGATTAATGACCATACCCACATGTTTGTTATGTTTTACAGGAATGGTCAAGTCACTAACAGGAGGTTATGTGATTACATATCACCCAAATGCAACTGATCCCGAAAACCTTGGTGAACCCCTGACCGTAGACTTTACTCCACCCTTTAAAAGGATTCGCATGGTACCTGATCTCGAAAAGGCACTGAATGTCAAGCTACCCCCTCCATCTGAGTTTGGGACCTCAGGTAATAGTTCAAGACTATTTACTTAGTTTACCACATAAAAATTGTCTCTAGATGAAAATGCCAGCTACACCCCTAAAAGTTTTTTACTTTGATCTTGCTACCTGATCTTAAAAGTCATTGAATGTCAAGCTGCCTCTTCCATTTGAGATTGGGACGCCAGGTAATAGTTCAAGACTATTTATGTAGTTAATTACCAAAAAATTCTCTCTTTATGAAAATGCCAGCTAGACCCCCAGAAAGTTATTGAATTGTTCACTATGCTTTGTAATTTGCACTAATGATATATTACTGATTGCTTTCAGAGACAAGGCAGATTTTAGATGATTTGTGTGTTAAACACGATGTGGAATGCAGTTCTCCCAGAACCACTACAAGACTTTTAGACAAAGTGAGCCTCACTTAATTTTTTTCCCCATAAATCATGTAATTTTAATTTTAGCCTTGTATCGAATGTATATGATGTAGTGGGTCAGAGGTTTTAAGAATACCACAAGTTTTGCCTTTAGGAGAGATGTGTTACATGAAAATTTGGCAGAGCATAAGGGTGGGAATTGGTGAAATTTTTTGTTTTGCAGGCAAGGGAATTTGAGATGAGTGAAATACTTGCAGGGAATAAGTTTTTCTATCAAAGTAGCAGGAAAGCAAAGAAAACTTGTGTATTTCACATGTTAATGCTGACACTGCAGGGCTGTGGTCTAGCAGTGCCCGGTGGCCCCTGGCACCTTACTTTTGCTCTTGGGTGACTCAGGAATCCTAGTTTTTTCATAAAAAGCATATGCTGGGCACCCTGGATTTCACGGTTTCAGAGCACTGGGCTCCCTTCAATTTTCTTAGAGCACAGCCATGCACTGGTTGAGTTTTCAATGGGAGCTGCATGGTATATTGATGGATATTTTTAATGGAATAAGTTGAAATGCTACACAAGTTATTTAAATTATACTGTTGGTGCATCATGTAAATATATGATATGGTGGTACACCTCACTGGGCAAGTGACATAGCTACTAGGCTGTGACTGTCAACATAATCATGTGAGGTTAGATTGAATTCCAAGTTCATCACAGCTCTTCCGTTATGATGGAGTGAAGCTGTTTCATGCCTTGGGAACAAACCATTCAGTCATGCACCTGTGGGAAACTAAGGACTTTCATTCGCATGTTTTTTATTAAGATGTTTTATTGGTCCAAAAGAACTGAGCACAGTGCAACAAATCACAATTCAAAATGGGCAATAAGCTTGTTTTTTGGACACGGATGCTGAAAGATATTAAAACTCTGTGGCCTTGAAGCTATTACAAACTACTAACTTGATTTGTTTGTTTGTTTGTTTGTTTTTTTGACAGCTTGTCGGTGAATTTCTTGAGGAGACCTGTGTCAGTCCAACATTTCTCATTGATCATCCTCAAATAATGAGCCCACTTTCAAAGTGGTAAGTAGCATGCATGATTCAACGCATCTTTGAACTTTGGATTTTTATCACCACTCAATAAGTGGATCATTATACTCTCCTTTACTTGTTGCTTAATGTCATTAGAACCATGGTGTGGTGTCCAAAGCTGTAAGCTAATGAGCTTGTGGGCAAGACCTCTCTTAACCTCACCAGGCAAGTTTGCTGTAGTTCAGTTACTGCAGACTATTTCACGTGAGGTGATAGGATTATCCTTGTTGCATACGATAGCTGCCACCTGACAGCACTGATTAGGTGATGGCTTGTTTTTTTTCTAGGAAACACATTTACAACCCGTAGAAAAACAGAGATGTTCTGAAATGTGGCACAATATTAGGGACCCAACCCATAACTCATCTTTTCTCCTACTGTCCAGCCATGTAATAATTTTCATTCATTTTATCATTATTCCTCTTTGTCTTTTCAGGCATAGATCGGTCCCTGGTCTTTCTGAAAGATTTGAGCTGTTTGTTTGCCGTAAAGAGGTGTGCAATGCGTACACTGAATTGAATGACCCTGTTGTACAGAGAGAGATGTTCCAACTTCAGGCCAAGGTAAGCAGAAATCCGTTTTCTTTAATAGAGCGCTCACGATGGAGTGTCGTAAAACCAAAACCAGAGTAATCGCAATGGCCAATCAGAAGAAAGAAAAATACCTTGAAGAGCCAATGAGAACTCAAAGTTATAAAAACCTACCAAACTGCCCAAAGTGCGGGAAAATGCGGCCGACCAAGTCGTGGTTGGTTTTAGTTTTGCATCTGATTGGTCGAGAGAGTGGCACGAGTTTTCTGGACCAATCACAGAGAGTAAGCAAAATCATGGCAATCTCGAATCACTCTCGACACTGAATTGAAAATTACCCCATATTTGGAGAGTTGAGGAAGTCGAATCACTATTTATTTCAAATTCTTTTGGCATTACGACGTTTATGGAAATGTGCTGAGACCTTACTTGGGCATGTGACATAGCCTAACGGCAATAATTGTCAACTAAATCACGTAAGGTAAAAGTGATTCCCAAGTTCATCACAGCAGGCGCTATTTAATGGACTTAAGCTGTTTCATGCCTTGGAGACATATACGATATTTTCCCGCGGTGCAATGAACGTCAACGACTTATCATTTAGCTAGAGGTGAACTCGAAACACGAGTGCAGAAGAGAGGCAGTTTTAATGTTGACGTGTTGGAAGAACTGGGTAGTCGTAGAAAGTACTTCGAATGATTGTTTAAAAATCGAAATATTAAGTAATCGCAACATCTTTTTAAATATGGGATGATAACACAAGGGGCCGACGACTTATCTGTGGATGTAAACTGCTTCAGCGCGGGAAAAAGTGAGTTGCTAAGTCGCGATTGTTACACGTTCCAGAGAATTGGCCTAGACATCGCTCCTGTCACGATGCAACACTTCTAGTAAGTCTAGCAGAGTTGCGTCCGCCCTAATCACTTGAATTGATTACGTTTATACAGGATAAAGACGCTGGTGATGACGAGGCAATGTTTGTCGATGAAAACTTTTGCACAGCTCTTGAATATGGCCTGCCACCCACAGCCGGTTGGGGCCTGGGTATAGACAGACTCACAATGTTCCTGACAGATTCAAATAACATCAAGGTTTGTTTTCGTTTGTTTATTTCACCACTTGTCGCAATTTGTGATTTGAATACTCAACTTTTGGTATCGTTTCACTCTGAAACCAAATATAGAGACAGCTCTACAAAGCGAAGGGGTAGAGTGACTAAGAGTCCACTCCATTTTAAAGGTTGAAAATCATGATAAAACAGCCTTGAATGTTCTTTAATTCAAGACAAGATGCTGTTAGGACCCTCCCCTCCCCCGTCGCTTTGAACGTTCCAGTTAAAATCCCACCTCCCCTTGAAACCTTGGTCACCCTATTCTTTTTGCTATTAATATTTTTTAATATTTTTAGTTTTTTTCAAATGTTATTTTACAGAATGAATATAAATCAGTAAGAATAAATTATTTATTTGAATTGCACTGTTGTTCTGTTTTGTCGTAGGAGGTACTATTTTTCCCAGCTATGAAGCCAGATGAGAGCGGAGCAGCTGATCAGAATAAAACAGACACCGATCCCGGAGAAAACGAGAAAAATTGATTTTTAAACTTTTTTCCATGCCAGAGTATAGATAGGAGAAAATCACTAAAGAAATCCATATAATATCCAAAATGATGGACATGTCAAATTACAATTTTTTTAGACAACACACTTGCATGGCGATCAAAAGAGTACAGGAGGGGATGGATTGAAATTATAACTGCCTCAGAGCTTCATTTTAACTTTTTGTTGTGTGGTCCATTAGAATACAGTTAGGAACTCGAAATTTTGCTTTTGCTAGTCCAATTCCTGTTAAGGCAGATCAAATTGTTGTTATTTTTGTTGTTTTTTTCAATATGGTGGCCGATGCTTCTGCACGGAGACAAGAATAAGAGCGACCTCTGATATGAAAGTTGTTTTTATTCCCATGCCGATGAACTTATTTTCGCAATTTGAAGGTTTTGGTTCTGACCTCGAGAGCGACCCATTGATAGGATAGGAGCCAGTTGGTTCGCAGATCTGAAAACTATTTCTAATTGCAAGAATTTACTGAAAATTAAGCTATTATGTCAACAAAGAGAAAATTTGAAGTCGGTTGTTTCGAGTTGATTTTATCCCACAGCACAGTAAAGCCGCTATGAGATCTGGTAACTCTTTCACTTCCACAATACTCTATAATCATGGTCTAATCAGAGTAAAACTTCTCATTTTCCTGCCCCGTCAGCGTGGAAAAGGAGGCGCAGTGAACTAAGTCAAATACTAATCTTAACTACAGCCAGGTGCTGTGGTTAACTAAAACAAATATTTCAAGGGATAAGATAGCTCTCGGTTGCTGAAAGGGAAGATATTCGAGAAAAAAAGTATGTCGATCTTTTACTTAAGGGTGTTGTAGTTCATAGTGATTATCTTTTGATAATAATTAATCTTCTTTAGCTGGTTAAATTAACATCAGCACTTGTGCTAGCTGTCAACACATTCTTCTGTGGGGATGACTGAGTTATAGTGCTCTCCAAGACCGTATTCATGGTGGTGATATCTAGAGAAAATGTACAAAAATTGAGATAAGAATTATGAATATATACCAGCAACACTAATGTCAATAAAAGAACTTGTTAGCGGGCAAGACCGTGACCTAGAAATCCTGCGGGCGACTCCTAACTTCGTTCCCAAGATTTCTCTACTTCCTGTAAGACAGAGACTCGATCTGGAGACTGCAGAGTCGTCCCCAGTCGTATCTTACTTTCAAAACGCAGTCGTAGGGTTGCGAGAGATTGGCACCACTGCGACGAAGGGAATTATTGAAAGGTAAACTTCTCTCTTCTCCCTTCCAGTAACGACTAACGAGGCTCAGCTTAAAAGCAGGGAGAGTTGCGAGATTGTGAGATCGGGCTTGGCTTTATCGATTTTTTACCATGAAAAGCTCTATTTGAATTATTTAATTAGTTGATATGGGTGTGCTCGTCAGTCTCCGCAGCAGCTGTTGGTTAGTCTTGTCACGAAAGCATTGTGGGGAGAGAACACTTTACTAACGCCAGCAGACAAAAATCGGCTGCGAAGGAGACTACTTCATTATTTTAGTCGTCCGCATCATTATCATTAAGCGAGTAAAGTATTTCCGTACTATCTCAGAAACAGTAGTATTTTATTTTTCATTCACTTACGATAACAGTAGTGGTCGGTCATCATATTCCTCTCCTATTCTTAGAACTGGCGCGTTAGCTTGATAAACTTCTATTGGAAGCTTTAGGGCTTGAGACAAAGCTTGAATCTGTTGGGAAGACAGAATCGTGTTAAAATGTCAGAATCCGGCGGCGCACAATAAAAACACGGGAAGGAAGTATATGACACGAAAGGAATGTTGAACCTGGTCACTACGGGGGATCTTATAAATTTTTCGTCTCATCTGGATATCTGTTCTATAGTAAAAAAGCAATAAATGTAATGATATAGATCATTTGATCGTCGCGTGATCGCGAAAGCCGAAAAGACAAAGTATGACCTGGAACAAAGCATTTCTTTTTTAATGCTACCCTTTTAGGGTACTTTTTTCAGTTTAGTTAACACGGCCATGGCGAGGAAGGTGTAAATTTCTTCATTGACTTTATAAGCCATCAGATAACTGTCGATTAACATTTGAGCCATCAAGGAACCTCATTCTCATTTTGTCTTTCCTTTCTGTCCCGTCCCTCCTCTTTCGCTCCCTTGTGAGAGTTAGAAGAAGATAGGTGATGGAAATGGGCTTTTCCTACGAGCAGACTTTTATGGGCGTTTGGTCAGGTCCTTCACCCCGTGACGCAATTCGAACGGAAGCCTTGCTTGCAGGTTATTGCCATGGTTATAACGAATCTTGCAATAATTTGTCACCATACGAACAATCCTCTTCCAACTACGCAAACTAATGTCATAAATGAACGGTTGATAGTTTTAGTTCACTAAGCTCGTCAGCGTTGGAAACCGGGGAGGGTCCGTTACGAAGGCAGAACTGAAAGGGGGTGTGGAAAAACGTGGGGTAGGCCGTGGTGTAGGCCATGGCCTACCCTGTGGCCTACTCTATAGCCTACCCTATGGCCTACCCTATGGCCTACCCTATGGCCTACCCTATGGCCTACCCTGTGGCCTACCCTATGGCCTACAGGTGGTCAGATGTTTAAAAGCATAAAAGTAAAGTCAGTAAGAGTCGAACGAATACGCTGGCGTACAATTCTATGCCTCTAAAAAGGGTATACTAGGAGGTCGCTAACATGATTTTCAACGTCCGAGGGAACGAAACAATAATGCAAATATTACAGCACTCGCCCAAGCACTCAACCATAACGGTAGGGAGGGGAGAGGAGGGGCCAATATTGCGTTGTCGCAGAGAATATGCAAAATAATGGCTTCAGTATACAGGCTGCCAGTTGGAAACATATATTGGAGTGCTACTGTAATAACATGTAACGGCGTTACATGGGACAACATATCCAGGTAAGAAAACACAAACATTACGTGCCAGGCCAATTTTTTTAGTGCCTCTTAAGTGCTGTAGAGTATTGAATTTGCAACAAGCACCCCGGGACACGCACGCATCGCCGTCATAAACATTTCACAAACTTTACTTGCTTTTCCAAAGAAAGGGCCAGTATTGCACTAGTTTGAAAGGAGAGCTGATATGATGATACTTGCCCAAAAGTTGCGTTTAACCAGGTTCTGTTCCTCGATTTCCTTGTTCTATCAGATGGTTAAGAAATTTTGATCGGAATGTGGCCGCCAAAACAGCAGAAGAAAGTCGTTAGCAAGACAGTCTTCAGGAAAAAGTTAGATGGTTTCCAGCAATGCTATGCTTTTGAAAATCTGACCACCGGTAGGCCATAGGGTAGGCCATAGGGTAGGCCACAGGGTAGGCCATGGCCTACCCCACGTTTTGTCCACACCCACTGAAAGGCGAGACGCGAGGGTGTGTGCAACAAAAAAAATGTTACTCCGAACGCCACTTTATTCCATACTTGGTTCCTCTCAGCGAGCTCTATCCAAATACGTTTTTGCACATGCCACGCGTACTATTTTATCGAAATGTTAATAGATTGTTTACCAAAACTAATCAAACCAAATTCACTTTAAAAAAAACCGTAGACAACAAAACTATGAAGTAAAAAAGAAACATCAACCATCCTGGTTGACTGTCTGGAATTAGACAAGACATCTGACAATTGTCGGTGTAAAACAGACAATTTACCTCCAAATGACCTCCCCATGAAGCGGTATCTGTGATTTCCTCGCAATAATGAACGAATTGATCTGCAAATACATTATAAATCACCAAATAATTATACCATCATAATTGAACCGTGGTGCTGCAATCACTCTCAGAATAACTTGTAGCCAGGGACGTCTTGATAATATTTCATAAACTCAAAGCATTTAGTTCCTTACTGAGTTTACTCGAACTGCTTATGGCGAGAAACACGCCCTCTACCCACTGCACCATACTCTAACTGCTTTCCTTTACCCGAGCGGTTGCTCTGTTTTCCGGCAGTCTCAGTTTCCTTTCCCAAAGCTGCCTGGTGCCTGGCCGTCGAGTATCTCCTAAGGAGATGCCCTGGAAATTCATCTTTTAACAGAGCCGGAAGTCGCGTTTCTTCAGCTCTCACAAAAAGCCTCGACCTTCTTAAACTGTGCTCTACGTCCAAAGCCCTTCATAGGAATTAGATGGAAACGAAGGGATCTCATATCGTCGGAAATCATGGCAAGAACATTTCCTTATTCATCCAGCATAAAAAAAAGCAGAAAGTTTTCACATCAGTGAGATTTTTACCTGGAGTGTACAGCTGCCCAGTTTTTGCATCGGTCAAGAATGGTAAAAATTCATCTTGATGGCTCAACATGTAATCCGCTGCAAGTTTTCGTACTGTTTGCATACCAGTCTACAGTACAAAAATGATCAGCAATTAACCGAAAATTCGAAATTATGGTAACCAATTAAAATTGCATTTATTGATTAGAACTTCTGTTGTGTTTTTTTCTGAAAGCCAATTTTCCTGACCTATTATTGTTACCAGCAGTTCCTTCATGGCTGCTCCTAAGAGTTTGATTTGCTGTTCTACCACTAATAGAAAGTTTTCTCAACACATTTTAATAACCAGCTTTCTGACCTATGTTACACTTGTCAGGATGATTCACATACTCTTGATAACCACTAGGAGTTCATTTTGCGATTCCCCCAATAATATAAAAAGTTGTAAGAAAATAATGTCCAATGAAAATTTAAAAATGATAAGCTTCTTTCAAAAGCCAGTGTTTAAAAGAGAAAGGATAAAATCAGAATTGAATTGTCAGGGAATATGAAGAATGTGTTGGAGATGCTGGTTACTGGACAAAAATATAACATTTCCCACCGCAGGGGTGTGGATATTTTCTAAAGGAAAAACCAAGTTCATAAGTTTTTATTTCACAATGTTGACAGAAAAGGCATAAGTTAGAAAAGAACATTCAATTTCATTTAACATTAAGACTATCTAATCCCCTCAATTAACTATGATATACCTGTTGATTTCTCCTAGACAGCTGATCAGCTATAGCATTGTATAAGCTGATGATGAAGAATTCAAGGTTAAAATGTTGCAAAACAGTTAACAAACTAGTATAATCTACACCACATGATGATTTTATAATTATTTCCCATCTTCTTGGCATATCAAGAGCTTCCAATAAACTATTACATGTACATACCAGTGTCCATCTGGAGTGATCTTAAAAACAAAACAAAACAAATCAAGCAGGTTGGTGAGAAAACTCACACTTTTAACTACACTAGTGACACTAGTGATCTACAGGCCCTCTTTATACAATATACCTCCTTTATAGATAATCCTCTGGTTGCCAAGATTTCTTTCAGTTTCTCAGCTTCCATATTACGTGCACTATGCACATTTTCCAATTCAGCTTCAGCAATTCTTTGTTCCCTTTTCTTATCTCTAGCAGCTTTTTTGTCCTAATAACAATGAAAACATTGATGAGCCGTATGATTTAACACCATGCTTTGTGTGCACTGTGAAATACTGGCTGTGTACTTTAATTTGCCAGTCTAGAAAAACCAGAGTTAATAGAGGAAACTATGCAAAAACTAACTTGAAAAATTCTCTTGCAGAAACTAAAAAATTAAGCTATTAGTTATCATTACTAATAGCTAATAATAATAATTAAAAATTTACAACACGCCTTTTCCATGCAGATATCAAACGCGCGGTACAATGCTATTGAAAAGTTAGAAAGCAAATTAAAACTCAAATGTACATAGTAATTAAAGCTGAAAAGTAAATAAACCTAAAAATTGAAATAAAAAACTCTTAGTACGTAATGTAATATTTTAAAAACATTACTCATGAAAAGCAAGTCTAAAATGATGTGTTTTAAGTAAAGATTTAGTAAGTAAACATTACAAATAAAAAAGTACATTTTACCCGTCTTTTCTGTGCTTTTGAAACTTGAAAGTGTGATCCCCTTTCGTCAGGGGTTATTGAAACTGATTCCATCTCCTTTGTGACATCTACTTCCTGGTGACTTTCTTTCTACAAAAGACATATTGAATAAAATGTCAACAGCCAAAAAGCATACTTAACCATTACCAATGACTTGTAAACCCCAGAGTTTGTAAATTTCCTTCTTCCTCCTTCTCCCTTTCCAAAAACAGACTTACAAAAAAAAGACCAATGTCAGTAGTCCAAAGAGACAACAAATTCTTACAAACAAGACCATCTTTTAGGACAAAACACTGTTGATTCTTTGGAGTGAAAAAATTTGCCTCAAAACCTCTCTTATATCAAAAGGAAAATATCTTAATTTATTTTCATCTCAAAAATTATGCAAACTGTATTGATAAGCAAGAAATTTGAGCTGTATCTCGTAGCATCTGGGATAAAACTCAGGAGAGTTGAGTTATAGGATTATTAAGAGAATCTTCACTGAAATACTGATTTGCTTCACTAGTTGTAGGTTGCTATACAGGGCTGTAGTTAGCATGAGGCAAGCCAAGGCAATCGCCTCATCTTGATTTTGGCATTTTTTTTTTTTTTTTTTTAAGAAACGTTTAATTGAGAAAACAATCCCTAGAAAAAATTGGATTGATTAAGATAAAACTAGCTTGTCCAAGATTGACTTTACTGAAGAAAACTGCCATGGAAAATGCTTAAAAGTGCATTTCTGAGCCTCTAGATTTCAAAATTTTCTGGGGGGGGGGCATGCCCACAGACCCCCCGAGTGGTGCCTATCTTCAGCACTCAACACTTACCTTGTCCTGCTCTGAAGTCTGGCTATGGCCTTGCTATAGTGGGAAAAATTTCCATCTAATGCTATTAAGTCCAAAAGTTTATAAAACTGTTTGTTAAGTGAAAACCAGGCTTCAAAAGGAAAGTTAGTATGTTTAACAAATATCGAATTGCAAGAACTAACACTTGAGTCATTCTGCAGTGAGTCCAGCTCATTCTTATGTCTCACGGATAAATCTTCCTCCAGCTTTGCAATCTCAAGAGCCATCTCTTTTTTCTTCTTTTTGTCACCTTTCGGAACAGAATGTTTCAACGCCTGGATTTTGGCTGAAAAAAACAAACAAAAACACAAAAACAAACATGAAACAGGATTTGAAGAAACGTTGTACCTTTCTTAAGTTAATTTTACTTTCTTGAATTGAAAAAAAATTGCCTTACAGAGCGCAGTTAGTGATGACATCGGATGAGTCGCAAAATTCCAGAAAGATCATAAAAAAAGAATCGAGTGTCACAAGCGTGGGAAATCTGTGTACCCCGTTAAGATTCACTAAATAATATAAAGCAAGACTAAAACTAAGGCGAGAAGATCATATACCCTGAAGATCTTTCGCTTCCTTTCTGTGTCTTTGAAGAATGCGTTCTAGTGAAGTATTCTCGTCTTCTTCCGCCATGTTGTAAAACACATTACATGAAGCACAGAGAGTCCGCACTTGTGGTGACTACGGACTCCACTATGCCCCAGGTTCCTTACGTCAAACGTTTGGCTGACGTTGGATAGACGCTGGTTGGTGATGGCTTGTGTAATTCCTTTGTTCCTTCATTGATTATAAGGTCCACGTATGGACCGGCAAAAATTGCAAAGCCGGCTGTATTTCAAGCCGTCTTGCGGGGTATTGGGAAAAGTTTTCAATCAGCAATAACCGCGCCTCGGATGAACCTCACTGGCTACGGTAATGCCACTGCGCAAAGCTAATGTTTTTAAGTCATCTTTGAATATATAAAGTGAGGTGGACATTGAAAGGTTGTGGGACCGCATAAAATGACACATCTGAATGACGCATCCTAGACAGCGGCAGATCGGTAACTTGAGAGCCTTTCAATGAACTGCAATAAAGCTGAAATATTATCGCTAATGTTTTATATCGAGTTGAACTCTGCTAGATAGGGATAGCTTTGTCGCAAATTTCCTATCGACCATTGCTACATAGGCGCCTGCGCATTGCCAACTTCTGCTACTCATTGAGTTCGCTGGTCAAGTGTCTATCAGAAAAATTCATCTTCAGTGGAAAGAAAACTTTGACAGCTGGCTCCAATGAGACTTTTTTACCGTACTGCGTGCGCTAAGGCGCCCTGACTTTCACGGTCCCTTTGCCACTAAGAGTCTCGGTTTGATCAGAAATCGAAACGATGAGGAGAAGTTTAAAAAAAAGGGGGGGGTGGGGGGAGAGGGAGCTCAAGCCCAGAGGATTGCAGACATTGTAGGAAGTAATTTCATGGAAGCCCAAAACCTAAGAGAGAGAAATGCTCGGCAGATCGAGTCTATTACCTGAAAGCAAACAATGGTCGAACTTGTATTAAGCGGTCATTCACGGGGAATGGCGCTTAATACAGGTTGACCGCCTAGTACAGGTTCCTGGTCGGCCTGTGAATAATCTACACCGGAGGAAAGTCGAGAATCTTCGTTTACATCTTTTGCTTATTTACACGCACGAGCTCTTCATTTTCCTATCAAGCAACGAAAATGTTGGTACTTGAAATTAAGAAGATATTTACCCTTCTCTAAAATTTTCAAGTTAATTTGGTTATATCAACTAAGTTGAAATTGTAAATTGGCCACCGCAGAGACTGACACAGTGACGCTCTGACAAAGGGCTAATGCTCGAAACGTCAGCTTTTTAACTCTTTACGGTGGCCAATTTGCAATTTCAACTTAGTTGATATAACCAAATTACTTTGTTACCCCCACCGACCCAGCACCACAGTTCTTTAGAAACTTTCCCCCTCTAAAATATTCAGCCTGATACATCTAAATTTTTTTAGCAACACAATGTTGAAAGGTAGAAATTAAAAAAAAAGCGTATGTGCTTGGTAGCATTTTTGCCACCCAGAAAGTTGGCCGTCTGCGATAGCGAATATTTCAGTAAGTTTTACTTTCGAGAAGCTCAAAACTCCACCTGAATCCTGAAACGCTTTTTCAATTTTGGAAATAATTTCTCCCTTGACTCCACTTTTTTCCCATGGAAACATGTATGCTAATAAAGAAAAATGTAATCAATGACGTCAGAAAAGATCCTCTATTCTACAGGCAGATCATAGAATATGTAAGAAAAGCAAAAATAAATCCGTCGTGGGTTTTTCCCTTCAATTTACTAGATGGTAATGCTGCATTACATCATCTGAACAAAAGGCAAAAGAAAGAAATGAAAAAAATTGTTTGGAAACCAAAAGACTGCGTAACTGACTGATCTATTGCCTGAAAATCAATAAAGATCGCTATTTTTCGGCCCTTATAAAATCAACTTGATCGAACTTTCGCAAAGCAGTAAGGTTTATTACTGCTATTTTTAGAAGTTGATATCAAGAAAAAACCGCTGACCTTGCATCGCGCCAAATATGGAATATTACGTTTAATGACGTCACATAGGAAAATAACAAAATGTCACGTGTTCAAACATTCTAAGAACTTACGCAGCACAAATCGATTTACAGAAAGAAATTTTCTCGCTGCAAAAAAGACGATTTTTAGGCTACTTTGAGACTCAAAATGAAGTGGAACTTTAAAGAGGAACATTCCTTAGGTAGGTTAATTCATACATCTTCACTTTATCGCTTGACCAATATTTTAACCGTTGTTTCTGTGTTGTAGAGTCGAGATGCCATGAATCTGCGAAGATAAGGGCGAAGTATCCTGACAGAATTCCCGTGAGTACTTTGCATCGAAACGTTATTTTTGTCGGAATCAAGCTAGATGATTGACTTATATTTATCATTATCATTCCAGGTCGTTGTCGAGAAAGCACCTAAATCCAGCATTCAAGATATCGACAAGAGGAAATTTCTTGTTCCCTCGGATCTGACAGGTAAGATAGCCATAAACGGGAATTACTGTGAACTGGTCAGGCTAAATTCGACGGAGTTTCGTCCTTTGTTTCAGCTTGAGGATGATGTATGTCGTGTGTTGTTGTTAACCGTTGTAGCTTTTAAATTGTCTCCATCTTTACTATGTATTATCTTATATCGGATCATTGTGACAACACATTTGTGAGCCATATTTTTGTGTTTCTTTTAGTGGCACAATTCATGTACATCATCCGGAAGAGAATCCAGCTTCCTCCAGAGAAAGCAATGTTCCTTTTCGTCAATAAAGTTCTCCCACAGACAAGGTTTGTTGCAAATGTATTAGCAAGCTCTTGAAAGAAATACGTATTTGTAAGTTTGTGTCATACTTGTTATTGAGCAGCTCCAGCAAAGCAAAATTGCGGTCTTTTTCCTCAATTGAATTATTTTGTAACCGTTTTGTTTACATCGTTCAATCTACCTTCTAAAGAACACTAGTTCCTAGAGAGTTTGTCATATTAGCAACAACTTATTTCTTTCATCGTCAACCGACCTGAAACGGAGATTTCGTCTTGATTAGTTCGCATTTAATAGAGGAGATTCGAAAGTGTCTCCGAAAGAGAAATTCACTCGTAAACCTATTGCGTTGCTTTTATTCTGTAATAGCTGCTTCCCGATTTTAAACTCCTTCATCGCCAACCCGTAACTTAGCCTTACAACAACGCTTTTCCTCGCTTCACAGCTGTTTGTTTGAAAGGCTTGTATATGCTTTGTTTATGTTCCCTATGGATCCCTTTGGTTTTTATGCGAAAAGAGAGCTCGTTCTTTATTCTCAAGAATTTCGCAATTGAAATTGCATGAAGTCAACAGACACAGAAATAATGACGAAGAGCAGAAGTTTTAGTAGAGGAGTATTTCTTACAGCTCCTTGAAATTTAGGCTTGCCGAACGGTACCAAGAACAGAAGAAAGTTGTTGAAGTCATAGATTTACATTTGCTGGTGGCAGAATGTATAATTCACAAAAATGGGCTACCTTGTATATACGGACAGTGTGGTTGGCCCATCTTATTTTTCAGGGAAATTGCCTCGTTCTCTTGAAGATGTTTCCTGGAAAAATTTTTTTCATTTTTTAGTTTGTATTTTTTGTTTCTTGTGTATTGGGGCTTTTGGGTGTACAGGGCGGTTTTCCTTCTTTTCTATGAAGGGTATAAACTTCTCCAGCATATCAATTCAATACAGGAACAAAGGTCATGTCACAATCTGTTTTGATCAGTTTTATATCCAGTTTGCCTGAGTCTCATGTGAACTTGCAAGTTGCCTTGTGACTTACTTCCTGTAAACAACACCATCCATTTAACTTATCCAGGAGGTCTCTATTTTTGTTTCAACAAACAGAGCTCTGGACTTTGGCTTCCCTTTTTAATTACTCTTATTCAGTATCATAATTACCCTATAGTTCACAACATCAAGCTCAGGTTCTGTGGGATTTAAAAAACCATCATCTCTTTTCTAAGAAACTAGTGGCAGTTTTAATGTTTAACAACTTGAGAGGTTCAAAGTCACCACAGATGCATTACACAAATTTTTAAGTAAATCAAACTGAAAAAACTCGGTAAAAAAACTCAGTCCTGACATTCAAGTCATCCAAATAGACCAGTAACCCTGGCCAATACAAAAGTTCAAGTGCATAAACTTGTTCAAGTGAACAAAACACTTAACTCTAAGAATATATGAGTAAGAAAAGTGGGATCGGTTCCACAGTAACTCTCCTAACAACAACACTGTCACTCTTTATACTTTTCCCTTCTAGTTCAACAATGGGTTCCATCTACGAAGAACACAAAGATGAAGATGGCTTTTTGTACATTGCCTATAGTGGAGAGAACACCTTTGGACTGTAAATGCTTCTGTTGAAATCTCTGGATTGAACTCATTATTAACTCTTGACTTGTTGACTTGCCTTAAAGATTAGTTTTGGGTTTTATCAGGGTTAATAGTCTGGCAAAATACATTGTGTTCTAAAGGAGATTAAGCATGCTAAACAAGATGTTACTTTAAGTAAAAATGGACTAGAAGTCTTTGTGGAATTCAGTGTTTTATTGTAGGACCAAGTCAAGCATAAATTGAAGCTGTGTTAAAAAGAATGGATTATAAACTAGCATAAGAAAAACAAAACTGAAATTTTGTAAATACTGTTACATGTACAATGTAGTCTACCACTCACTCTTCAGCCACAAAAATCTGAACTCGAGTATCTTTGGCTGAATTTGTTTATGAGGTTTAATAGAAGACTGTCTTAAGGGTTACTTGAATTTCTAATATTTACTTCAGGTCCATAACGTTCGTGTTGTTTTGAATACTGTGCTACTGTTAACAGGATATTGAAATGTGTTCGTTTTCTTAAAACTAGTGATAGTGGCTAATTGGCTTAATGACTGTAAACTTTCTGGTAATGGACACAAATGATCTGTTTTGTTGTAGCTAGCATGGCTAAGATATTTTGAAAGTTTCCTATTTTTATCCTGATCCAGTGAAATTTGATAGGTTGTCAGGCTTAAGACACCAAGTAGGAAATGCAGCAAGGAACTTTTTCCTGACAGCCTTATATCTTGAAGCTCCTCTCTTTGCATTGTGGTAACTTGTTATCTTCTCTTGCCTGGAAATAAAGTCAGATAATTTTGATGTAACTTGTGGTAAATAAATTTTTCATTTTATTTGTTAAACAGTTTACTGTACAGTTTGTAAATGTTGCAAAAGGCTCTAAGTCAGGTGTGTAAATCAGAAACAGTTACAGTTTTTCAGATTAAGATTATAGAAACTGGTCAAAGGTTGACTCTCACTCCCAAGATCTCATTAGTAATTCTCATAACTGTCTGTAATTCAATTGTTATGATTTTAGTCCCGAGAATTTAGTATTGGATCAACTAATCATCCCCTAATTGATATTTTTCTTTATTCCCATCAATTGTTCGCTTGATAATAGGAGAAATTTTGTCTTGATCACTCATGGGAGTTGCAAGATTAAACTTATATAACCATTTTTATGAACTCAAGACTTCATAGGCATAAACAATTCCATTTCTATTCATACCACCATTAATGGTACATACACTTAAGCACTGTAACAAGGCTGAGGAATGTGGCAATTATGGGCTAACCTTAATGAAGATGGAAGCTTCCAGACAGGAATGCTACTGACCAGAGCTTTGAATGTCTCAAAAAGACTCGCTTTACAAATGCATACACTAGGAAAGAAAGTGTCCAATTTCCCATAAATACTAATAGGAGGATGAGAATGAAATCAAATAAACAAAACTAAGTGACTGTGATGATAAGGAAAAAGAACTAGGTTCTTTGGTTTTTTTTTTTTTTTTTACCTTGCTTTTGGTGATGAAAGGTACTTTTTAGTAACACCCTGTCTGAGTCCATTAACAGAGACTTCATGAAAGAATGGATCTTTAATCCATATAATAGCTATTGACAGAGGAAGACAAAAATAGTTGGGTGACTAATTAATAATACTCTAGTGATAACCAAAGTAAGCTAAAAGAATAGTTGCTGTTCAGGAAACATGCCCTTTTGACTAGCTTCTTACTTAAGAACAGTAACACACCTCATATAAGCAGTGGAAATAGAGCCTGTGACAGACAACCATACAAATCCTTGTTTACCATGTTACATGTAACTGAAACAACTTAAAGCATTTTGTATTCACTCACTCACAGGTAAGTGATGACATCAAGTTAGAGGTGCAAGCTGTTACTGGTTTTGACGTAAACCTCATTATGCCTCTATTTTTTTAAACAAGAAGTCAAATCTCTTCACATAAGACAGCTTTATTAGGATGTATATGTTGTAGTTCAATAATATACTTGGTTCAAATTTTATTTTCCTTTGTTCTTGGTCATGTTCATGTATGATAGAGTGAGAACAAAGGAAAATAAAATTTGAACCAAGGATAAAATTGAACTACAACATATATACCACAAGATTGGCTGACTTGTCCTAAATAATTTTTTTCACATTGAATAATTTGTCTGAGTGTAGTCAGAGTGCAACTTTTCTACAAGGCTTTGTGGGGAAAAAAAACATACTGGTACTTGAAATGTAGTCAGAAAAATGAAGTTTCTATTTTTTTTTTTACCTGTTGAGGAAGCAGATGGTTTACAATGACTTCGTTCCATGACTTTATATTTGCTGCATTCAAATTGCACATCTGCTTGAAATGTCTTGGGCTTATGATGGCAAAATTCATCATAGAAATCAAATGATACAAAGACAGAGAGAGCACGTTCAAAGATTCCCCTCTTCATAGCAGTATCATCATAGGGGCACATACCAACCACAATGGATGACAGGTACACTGGAGTTGTTATAAAGTAAGACAACAGAGCTCCTTGTATGCCAAGAACATTCCATTTCATTATTTTGTCACTGCATGACATTGATAGTGTGGGATCTCCACGCCCTGGTTTAGTGCGTAAAACACCCAAAGTATGGTATCTAATGCCAGGTTGAAGAGGATCCTGATCACCTCCTGGTACACACTTTGCTCCTGTTCTATTTATATCCTTGTGCTGTTCACTGTTACTTTGTGTCTGATTTACATTGGCCACAACATAGCAAGAGCTTTCAATCTCATCATCGCACAAACTCACATGATCTGTTTCAGTTTTATTCTCCTTGTGTTCCTTACAGTTCATCACAAAATTGTTTAAGTCTTCACACTTTGATTGTGGGTCTGATAGACACAATGAGAGTTCTGCTGGGGTTTCACTTACGTGGTCACAACCACATATACCAGTGCCTTCCTCGGGGAAGATTTCTTGGCTCTCTTTTTGCACAGTTGATGATAAAAAAGAGGTGTCCTTAAGTATTTCAAACCTTAAATCAATGGTTTTTTTCTTTTCAAGACAGATTTTCTTAGAGGAATCTATAGCTGTGACAGTTCCATAAGGTGAGGGAGATTTTCTCTTTCCAGGATTAAGGCTTTGCCTTTGTAATCCTGAAACTACTAAAGTGTCATCTTCAGCTTTTGGAAAGATTGAAGCATCACCGCCTGAAAAAAAAAAATTACTGTCACTAACATGTAAAAGTCATTGAGGTTTGATTCAAGTTTGATTCTACCAAAAAAAACTTAACAGTTATATAATATCAAATTATTTTCTGCAAGAGTGAGTAAACAGTCGCTTGAGACCTGGTTGAAAATAATCACATAAAAAAAGTTAAATAAGTAACAGAGTAATTTTACTTACAGAAGTAACAAGAAAAAAATCAAACACTTACAAGGTGTATGGGAAGTAAAAAGATGAAAGGACACTCCATCTTTCAGTTTGCATAAATAACTGTCATCTTGGAAAACAAATATACTTTGTTCCTGTTTATAAGCATACCATAATTGCTGATAGAGATACCTTAAGAGAAAAATAGCATTCTGATTACCCCTTACATTGTGGTTGTTAAAGCCACATAATGGTTTTAACAGATCTATATATCATTCTATTAATGAAAAATATTTGTTATAGAAAAAACACTAAAAAATAGATGAAAAAAAACAACAACAAACAATTCAGAAACACAAAGGATCGTCAGCATTCAAACCTGAGAAAACTTCTCCTGGCGATTACTTCTGCATGACTGTCATTCAAAATGGTTCCTGCAGCAGAGATACAAACTGCATTTACCATTTCACACCTGAGATCCAACCATCAGTTCTCTTCCCTGTCTGTCAAAAATTTGTTAGAATTTTGGCTCTGAAAATTTGTCTTTCATTCAAAAGATTTCCCTTTTTTTTCTTCTGAACACCTTACTTCAGGACATTGTACTGACATTGTAAGGGAAAATTACTTCTTGGTCACTCCTTGGGGCTAAAAGGTTGACTGAATTGTGCTGAACTTAAGTGAATATTCGGACAGGGTGACAGTCATGGATCATTGTTTTGTTCTTGAGCATAACATATTTGGCTAATTGTACTTTTAATAAGGACTTCGTGTTGGTAAAGAAAAACAGTTCAGAGAACTGATAAAATATATACAAGAGTTAAGCCTCAGTTGAAAAAGGTTTACAACAACTCCAGGTAAGTCAGACTCAATCTACAAAAAAATTGCTTCAGACAGTTGCATGATCCTCACATGTAAAAACTAGGTCAGAAATTGTTGTACGCATCCTTTACTACTACTACTAAACATAAATATATCTCTCAATCCTCTTTCACAACTTGAAAGTTATGGTTTGCATCTCTCATTACTCAGGTTTTATGCTACTATAAGGTTCTTTCAATTAGACCACAATTTTACCTTGATTGTTCATTTTGCTTCTTCCTATGCATTTAGAACCAGTTCCCATTGCAACCACCTCCATGGAATATTTTGTCAAAGATTTTTCATTGTCATCTATAGTAATTTAACCACAATATTATTTAAGTTAAAAAGTAATTCATGATTGAACTGCATATGATGGGTAAATAATTCATTCCCCAAGGTGAACTGCAAGAAAGCCTAAAGGAACTCCTTCCTGATATCTTGTCACATGTAGAAAAGGAATTTGTATATAGACACCAACAAACAGGGTTTTCATTAAAAATGGGGAATTTAAAAACACCCTGTTCTACAATGTAAGTCTTCGAGGTTGATCCCTAAATTTCTTCAGGAAAGCTTAACTAAACACTAAATAGTCTAGCACTCTATGGTTATTCTATTTCAGACATGGTAAGTTTAAAAATTTTTAACCTCTTTGCTGAACAAGTACAATAGCAGCCAACAGAGTCCACTCGACATCGATTTGAGGTTTTCCCTTTTTGCTCAACTTGTTGAAATGACCACAACACAAGCGAGCTACCTTGTCTGCAAATGTACTATCCCCCTGCCAATAAGCCATAGAACAACAGAACTGTGGTTTATGATTCTGCTAAATACCTAACACAGCTCAAATCGTTCTTTTCCGTCCGCCATCTTGAACGAAATTAAATTATAGGAATCTGGGTCGAGTAGATGTGAAAGTAAAGAGGCGGGGGAGGAGAGGGAGCAATCTTTTTTACGGCTACAAATACGGCCCTTTTTTGGTTCAAAACAGAAAAAATTATCCCTACATAGATATAATATACTCTTATACTTTTTTATATCCAGAAGAATTTTAATTTTTCCTATAATATTTTAATAACGAAACGTTTTTCAAAGACCCGATCAGTCCACCACACTTAACAAATGTATGTTCCTCTACTGCTATTTCTGTTTCTAAATTCGCGGGCTCAAGCTACGAAAAGAGGAAAATATCTGAGAGCGCCAATTTTTGTTTATAAAAGTTTGTCGCTAAGCAGGAATACTTTTCGACATGGTGATGTACGTAGTTCATACACACGATGTACGGCAAAAGTACAAGACTCACATTTGAAGTAGAGCGACTCTTTTCCAATTCTTTGTCATAATTTTGACTTTTATACCTCCCTTGATTATTGCCTATGTCACGCACGGTGAGAACATTGTCTGTTTATTTTTTTTGGTTTGTTCAATATTGTTTAACTTTAATCTCTTAGCTTTTCTTTATTAATTGTAAATTTCGTGAATCGTTGTGTAAAACCGCAGGTTTCTGGCTCAAGGAAAGTTCTTTCAGAGAGCAGCCTGATGTTCGGTTCAAACACGACCTCCTTCTTGTCCTTCAAGGAAATACCCCAAATTCATTTATGGCCTACAGTACGTTTCAAAACTTTAACCATCTTCTACAGGAAAAGCTCAGAATTCCACTTATAAAGGTGATTAGAATTGACTATGTGATCCTAATTATCCAGTGTGTCCGAACTGTAATATTCTCTAATTTCAATTTTTTTTCTTTGCGATAATATTACAGAACTGTTAGATAATTGTATTGAATCTCCTCACAGCATATCACTCACACTGTAAATAATATTTTTTTCTTGGATTAAGTCATGGGAAACAGATGATAACCTGGATGGAAAGTATGACAGCCTTCACTTCAATATTGAGATACCCCTGTCAGACTCTGAGGCAATACATTCTGTACAGATGCTGCTGATATTCGATTACAAACTTCATGTAAGTTGCGCTGTACAAGTTGAGTTGTGTTTCTGTCAGAGTGACCCATTCCTGTTAAAAAAATATGTTCATTCAGGTATCTTAAGTGCAAGGATATAATGGGAGTGCAATTATTTCCTACTGGACAAATGTTTGATTTAAATATTATCTTAGACGATCTCCCCTACAAATCTTCATGTTTTCCCATCAGAAAGTTTGCTGACACCAATTTGTACTGGTGGGCAAAGAGGTGGTGCCTAATCATTCAAAGTGTGTGAACAAAAACCAAATTCATAGACTTGCCCGCTAACGAAAAGAAATCGCAGTGTTTACATGCTGGAGACACTTGATTAAGAACTGTGTATACCCTAACATCAGTATCCATATTTTCCATGCTCTCTCTATACTTTTCTTTTGGTACTTATAAGGAGAATACATTTAACAATCAAAGCTCCCTAGGTTGAAAATAATTTCTGTTACTTTTATGTTCTTAATGAATGATTTAGCACTGTTTCTGTTAGGGTAAATTATATGCTTGTCCCTATTAGGGTTTAAAGTTTTAGGAATCTTGCTGCTTGGTCTGTAAATTGTGTGGTGTATAATGGGTAGGATTCTCTTTCAATCCTTAAAATTAATTATTGACAAATAATTAATGAAAATGAAAACCTTTTATATATGCATTATTAACCAAGTGTGAGGTCAAGATGGCTGGATGTTGGCCAAGTTCTTTTTTTGCATTTTTATGGACCGAGACGAAGTTGAGGTCCATAAAAATGTGAAAAAAGGAGGCTAATATCCAGCCATTTTGAACAAACAAGCTTGGTTAATAAAGGATTTATTATATTGCAAAAAGATTTTGCTTTATTAAGAGTTAAGAATGACTTGTTTACTTCAAGCTGGGAAAGAAAGCCAACTGTGTTTGTAGCACAACTAACATCTCAAGAGTCCTTTCTGTTTTGTTTGTTTGGACTATATTCTGCTGCTTTTTGCATTTCCATCACTGGAATTGTCCAAGAATTCAGAACATAGTTCAAATTCAATTTTTTTCATGTGCAGGATCAATGCAGGCAATCCCGGGCAGGTCACGGGCGCTGCAAGCAATGTAATAAGATCAATTACTGTGCTTGTCTGTCTTTCTGTCTCTCCAGAAATATGTCAGACTTCAGATGGAGAGCATGGCCTACATCTATCACTCATCTCCTCTAGCTGGTGCAGAGTTTTCAACAATTGGAAAACTGATCCTTCAGCAGTCAGGGCCCTTGCCTTACAAGGGACAACATGTCTTATATAATGTAAGGAGTACAAATGAACCCTGAAAGAATAACCTTGACTAAAGTAAAGCAATATGCACAATTTGCTGCTTTCATTGTGGCTATGAGTCTCCAGGGCTTTTTTGCAGGTTAGCAGCTGCAAAGTTTGTTACCTTTTCTCATCTGGTGTGTGATTTACATAAAGGCACTTGACACAATCTGGTATGGGTTATTATGCCAGTTAACCAATTAAAGTTATAAAGGCTGATAGTTTCTAAAGAAACTGTTTGGGGCTGCGTCGGTGGGGGTAACGAAATAGTTTGGATATATCAACAAAGTTGAAATGGCAAATTGGCCACCGTAGCGATTACAAAAGCTGACGTTTCAAGCGTTAGCCCTTTGTCGGAGTGAATAGAGGAATTGTGGGTTGTGTGTGCTTTTAAAGGCAGAAAATGGAGCTAGAAAAACACGAATAAATTAGTGGAATGTTCCCACCATTAACATAGCTTCATTTTCTGCCTTTAAAAGCACACACAACCCACAATTCCTCTATTCGCTCCGACAAAGGGCTAACGATCGAAACGTCAGCTTTTGTGATCGTTATGGTCGCCAATTTACCATTTCAACTTTGTTGATATATCCAATTTAAAGTTAGCCTTTTGGTCATTTTAGCCAATTATTGACAATTTTCTTCTCTTAGGTACCAGTTATTGATGGTTCAAGTTCTAATGTTGATGCTTATAATTTGTATGACATATTCTCTGCATACATCCAACGTAATGGTATGTATTAAGTATAAGTAAGCTATTTAACTGGTTAGGGGTTGTGAAAGCCTCTGATAAAAGACCATTGTGTTAAAAAAAAAACTTATTAGTCCTGTTTTCAAAGTTAATCAATTCAAACTTTATGTATGGTTCATGTATTTTGAAGGTTCAGACGTCTGAAGTACAGACAAGAGTGACTCACAAAGTTGCAACAAGTAGCAAGGATTCATTGATTCAGAATTGACCCCTCCACCACCCCCCCTCTCCCCCTAAATTTATCAGGTTTTTCTAACCTTTTAGAGGAGACTGTAGGAGAATTTGTATTTTTCAGTTAAAAGACTCATTTGATGGAGAGTTTACTTCATTGTAGTATCAAGTAGTTATACTTGTGCTGTTTTGGTATCTGGAAAGAAAATTTCATGATTTGTCAACAAATGCTGAAGAGAAATTCATTCTAATTCTGTTTTATTCTTTGTTAGTTACTACAGAATATGTTTCATTCCATCCTGTGTGGACAACTGGCAGAGCAGCAGGGCAGCCATTTGTTATAAAAGGAACTGTTTATTACCCAGAGGAGACAATCATGTATCTTTTAATAGAACTCTTAAGCGTATTAAGGTTATATTAGTGTAATGCAAGTAATCGCTAGTTGTATACAATTCAGAGCTGCCAATAGTTTATTTTGGAAAGGTATTAAAAGTATTGCAGTTAAGTCAACTCATGTACACTACTGGAGGTGACATTTGAGCCTGCTAGACCTTTCATTGCCATCTGTTTTGCCTGTGAGCAGACTCTTGTGTTTTGTTTCACCTTATGGCATGGCTACTTATTACACCAACAGCAGCCTTTTATGGTATTGAAACCCTTCCAACTGAGAGTTCTTCTCCCACATGGATGGGTTGATGGTTAATGACACATTTACCTACCCTCTCCACCCTTTTCCATCCCGTTTGTCAAGAATGCACCATTTAGTATTCTGAAGAGAGAGTTAGTTGACACAATTCTTCTCCCAGCCAGAGCTTTCACACATATTTTCCAACCAGAGTCTGGCATGCTTTAGTCAAGGTTTTAAGAAGGTAATATTGATGGTTCATTGAATTTTTTGTGAAGAGTTTTTAATCAGAAGTTGTTGAATTGCAAACAGAGTTCACCTTAACAATGTTTTAAGATACCGACCAGGATTTTGGCAGCTCATCAAGATGGCTTGGATCCAGTACCTGGCAATTCTGTTCATCTTCCTCTTTTTGTTTGATAGAGTCAAAAGATTCGTGTTCGAAAACCAAGTGGTGACCACAGTTGCAATGAAGTTAGAAAAAGAACACTTAGACTGATAATCCAGCCATAAAGGAGGGCCAGATGTTAAAGATGATGAAAGAGCCTCGGTCAGTGGAATGCCGTTGGTGCTAAAGGAGAAGACACGGGACGAGGAATGAAGGTAGGAATCTTCAAGGGACAGGTTGTCAAGGTGCAAGACATCAAGGAACAAGTCATATATGGGTAAAACCCTCTGAGACAAGAGATCAGGAAACAAGTCATTAGGTGACATATGGTTGAAAGCTCTCATTGGTAAGGGAGAACAGATAGTTTTGATGAGAGCTTTGAGTTTTGGGAGAAGTTAAGTCAGTGTTGAAAGACAGCTAAAGGAAAATCTAAAGAGCGTCTTTGTTTGAATGGGCCAGCAAACTTGCATTTCCAACTCGTACCGTAAGATGACTCGTACCGACATCAAAGCGTCTCAATAAAATTCATAGAATTGAGTTTACATATAGCTTGCGACCAGGTCCTCTTGATAAGCGCTGCAGGACGAGACTTTCTCCGCCCACGGGAAGATTGGAGACGAGTCGTGGCGTGGTTTGTTGGGGGTTTACCAGTGTCAGAGCCAACATGTTCGCTACGTTGAACACTGAGTTCGCTGCATCAGTATATACCCAGCTTGCTTTCCATACTAGCTAACGTACGTGTAAGAATTGATAAAATATGAAAGATATTTCATTAAGCTAAAATCTTGCATCATAATAATGTTTAGAGTTTTTCAAAGATAACGGTGTAGCGTTTTTAATCAACATTCTCCTCAGCGAGTTTTGTTCTCTTAAATATTTTTTAGTTTCACGTTGTTTTGAAGCCACGAGTTACATGCAACGCAGCTCATTGATAACTTATGCTATCTTAACATATTCGGTCATATTTCTGTTCTTAGCAATACTTTTTTTAAGAGCTGTAAACAAGTATTAAATTATTGAAACTGTCAAGAGTACTGTTAATGGTTTTATATTTATTACTCTTGCAATTAATGTTGTATAATCGTGTTGCTCATCTCAAAAAATCTCCGTTTTACCATTCCTCTCAAAACCTAGTCCTCCAACAGTCCCCTCCGAGCTTAAACGAGGTGAATTTTTTTCTTGATTTGATTTACCTCCGTTTACAAAAACGTCAGGCTTTGTTTACGAAGGTAGGTTGAAGGAAGTAGTTGCTAAGTAGCCCCAATTTTTCTGAATTTATTGCCCATTTCGATATTTTAAAATTCAGAATTTTTTATCGCTGTTTTTTTTCTAACTGATATATTACGACGAGGCTCTTGGAAATACACATTGGTGATGGCGGGGTTTCTCTTTAGGAACGTTATGTTGATGTCCATCGTTTTGATTTTTAATGTTTTGATGTCCATCGTTTTGAATTTAAAATTCTCGAACTGGGATGATTCCTTTTAAAAGGGTCTTGGAAAAGAAAAGAATAACAGACATGGTATTAGGAAATGCTCGCTCGCGAATTTGTGCCACGTATTCAACATTTTAAGCCTGGTAATTATGTTTGTAGGGGCGTTCCAGCTTAACTTTAATTTAAGCAGCGTTGAAGAATTGAGGAACTTCCTGGGTTTGAGGTAATGGCAGTAAACTTTGCTTCAACTTGGATTGAAAAGTAGCTTCTGGGCGCGAAATGATGAAATAAAAGAGACGATAACTGACATATAACGCCAAACGCCATAAACTGCGAATTGCCACGACGAATAAGTTCTATTATGATGAACTTGTTCAAAAACTTAAAAAAATCTTAAAAACCCTATGAATTATACAGTGAAACCAAACCACTGCAGGTATCCTGGCAACGACTTCCAGGATTGATAGGGTGAGGCAGTCACGTGACCTGATGCAGGTGCCGGTCAACAGGTGGTGATAAAGCGATTGTGTTAGAGTTTGGGCGTTGTGTGTCTATGCAAAATACTTTCAATCGTGTTAACTATAAATCTTGTTTCATTTCAAGCAAGGGGTGATAAAATTAAGAAAGAGACAATTTTCAGTAGTTGAATCGCGCGACGGACGAGAATCAAAGTTTGTTGAAATGCCTTAAGTTCAGTCGCTGCTTGTTTGTTTCTTGATTGAATTAAAAAATCAACGTTGTTTCATTTGCTTGCCTTTTTATGGTTGAAACCAAATTCTTCATAATTGTTGGAAAGGCAGATATTGATGTTACCTGGGTGTGGTAGACAATTTTTCGTTAACAGCCTTTTATGAGATCATTGTTTCTATTTCTCTTTAGCGTTGAAACAAATGACTGGGCGCGGCTCGCTTTGTTTATCGATTTTCAGTTTACACGCACAAGCAAATCCCTTTAGTTTGTTTTATCTTCAACAGAAACTCGAAAACGTACGCTTAAAGGCATTCAGTGGTCGATTCAAGCACATCAGTGCTCTTTGAAAAAATAAATCGGTTACAAGATATTTGGAAACGGTCCAAATGGGCGAACTCTCTTCTCTCTGACGCGTAGCCGCGAAACGACTGCTGAAGGTAAATACACCCAAAGTATTTCATTTAAATACTTGGAAAGCTTTCAAGAAGAATCAAGGTTGCAAATCAGAAGTTTGCACCTGGCAGTTACTCAGTAACTTGTATAGTTCTGGAATGAAGTTGGACAATCACTGAATGACCAGTTCGAGTTCATAGAGGAATTCATTGCAAAGAGCAAAGACATGCCTGGATATGAAGTGAAATTTACTGGACCGCTAGACAAGGCATTTGAGTGTCCAATTTGCCTGATTGCTCTTCGAGACCCAGTTCAAATAACACCATGTGGACATCGTATGTGCAGCACTTGTTTCAAGCCGATTTTAAGGTACAGAATTGAAACTGTCCATTCCTTCTGTGTTTGCAATCGTGGCCATAATTCTCTTTCCTCGAATATCATAAAAAGTTTACAAATGATGAGAAGTAATAATTACTCTATACGCAGACACGATCATACCTCAACTTGATGAATTTCTTCACCATGTTCACTTGTCCATTTTGCACAACTTTGATAACAACAGGAGAATTTTATAACCTTGTCATAAAAGATACTCTGTTAGCCATACAGATTGTTAAATCAGCCATGAAATTATTTCTCCTCGGTCTTTCGAAATCAAAGGATTCCATATTTAAGTTTTTTCAACTCTTTGACCCCCAAAAGTCCGTTTTGAAAGGCTAGATGAAAATACAATTTCAGTTGGCGCTAGCTTTATTGTCAAATTTCACTGTATCGTTCTATTTCGGTCCAATATGTGTTTTTGAATACTTTGATTTGATTCAGATGTTTAAGACTTATCAAAGTATTAACGGTATTTAAAACTTCTTGGATTGTATTTTGAGTAGAACTCGATGACTCCTATTCAGACGCACACCTTTCTTTCTCGTAATCCTATTTTGATTCGTAACTTAATAATTAATAATTAATAATTAATTCTATCTCAATAGAAACAAGAGGCCTCGCTGCCCCCTCGATAATTTAACCTTCGATCCCTCAAAGGTGAGAAATCCATATCCTATGTCTAAATCGAATCAAACATATAAATGATACTGTCATGAACCTTTAACACTTTCAAGTAGAAGACCCCAGATTATTTTTTCTCTGCTGTTTGCATTTCATGTTTTAGAATGTTACCTTTTAAAGTTTGGAGTAAACCAAACAACATCCTATGTTTGATATTTTTCGCTATTTTCATCTCCTTTCTGCATGCATGGTTGATAGTGTAAGGCCACTGTTGGGAGAAATCACACTCTGATCGTCTCCCAGAGTTCATGGAAAGGTTAAGGGACACGATCTGTTATTAGTTTTCTACCTTCTCTAACTAACTGTTTTTAATCTTGTAAATTTAGGCGGTGTCTAAAAGAATGGAATCTTCCCATTTTAGGTTTTCCCAGATAATGGTTGCCACAGACAGGTTCTGAACCTACAGGTTCTCTGTTCAAACGCAGAGAAAGGATGTGAGTGGTGTGGGCCGCTCAGTGAAATAGAGGTGAGTTATATTACACTCGTAGATGAAATGATTTACATCGACATTATCGATACACGTTTACGTTCAAATAGATGCGACGGAGAAACTTGAACGAATGGAACAGTTTTTCGACACAAAAGAAACCACCACCTGTTTAAAACTTACATTACTGTATCGATGTTATGGAGGTATCGATTGCTTGGTTTAAAGGGATATTTACCTCATTGGTAAATTGGATGGTCATAGCTCCAGTCAATACATCGTCATAACGTGAATACAACTTTCACCAGCTTAGAATTTCATTTGTGTCTGATTATTAATATTACCCTTTTTAGCGACATCAGGACGTGTGCAGTTACGCCGAGGTATCGTGTCCGAAACGTTGCGGAGTCTAATTAGAAAGGAGAAGAGTAACGGATCACAGTTCACTTGAATGCGTAAACAGACTGACAC